AAGCAATATTATCGAAAAATTAAATTCCAATTAAAGTAGTTGAAAATGCGAAAAATTATTTAAGAGGAATGTCATATGTATCGTATGGGTAACATCATGAACATAACCTCATTTAACCGTACGATAACCTTGCAGAGTCTTACGAATGCCACAGCTATTATAACTTTTATTATAGCTAATATCGGAATATTTTCAAAATATTATCTATTCTGTTCTGCAAATATAAATGTTTTATAATTGATAAAACATATTTTATGAATAGCTCATATTTTGAACTCTTGAACGAAGTGTTAATAGCAAGTCGTTACACCTATCGTCAATTTATTCTTGTTTTATATGACACGAAAGATAAATCCGGTATCGTTTTTATTACATACTAAAGTTTCGAACAATTTATATTTATTGCGATCTTTTTTATTCGTATATATTGAACGTATTAATACAGCTCGTGCAGAAAATCTCGCGGCACCACGTACATGTGTACTTTTACTTTTACGACAATAATAAAGTACTTATAAACTCTAGAATTCAGCAGTTGGAAAGTTCGTTATAAGTCTAAGTTATTGAAAGAATTAGAATCATTTTCCACTCTTTTCAAGCGGAAACAAGGATATTACAATATACACTGAGCAACAAAAGTATTCGTACACTTTCTATAGCTACTTTCAAATAATTTCTATCCTTTCATAATACATACTTCACAGTCCTTATTAACGGAAATACAATTTATCATATTTGTTAAGTTTCCAATTAATTTAAATTTTATTAGAAAATAACGTGTCATTATAACAAGATGAATAATTAAAATTAATAATTACAAAATTAATATGGTAATATTCATATTATAGAAATTTTGGTGTGTATTTTTGTGATTTTTAAACAATTTCACAGCGTGAAGTATAAACTTGGGTTCCGCAATCTCTAAAGGCGCCTCTGAAGATACTCTAAGCAGAAGTGGGAAGACACTTTAATATCCGTTTGGTGCGCCGACGTGTTTAACGCATCGGCCGCTTTTTCTCCATCCCCGTCCTTTATTTGTACCCATTACGAAGGGAGCAAAAACCGTGACAAAATTTCAAAAGAACGAAGAGGAATCGTGCCCACGCAGCAATCTACAACATTATCACGGCGGAAAAAGCCTGTCGGAGACGAGGGTAATGGGAATCGATGTAAAGTGACTCGTAAATAGAGACGTGATTGACGAATTTTTCGCTAGCTCGTCAAACGTTAGCCTCCCGATTGTCAGGATTCACGGCTTTAATCTGTCGTTAAATCGTCTGCCGGCTAAGCGATCCACGTCGTAACAGGAAATAACCAGGGAACAGGTAGATCGTAAAGGGAGGCGCGAAAAACCAGCTCATCTCGTCGTTCAGATACACCTACGTGATTTAGACCATTCATAGATCTTTACCTTTAAATCCATAAAAAGCGTTTCGTTTGTTTCGGTACTGATACAGCGTTTGTCGTTTATCTAGAATCATATAAATATCCTACAATATACAAGTGATACAGAGAAATGTTTCATGAGGCATATAATAGAGAAATTTTTTTTCACCTGGAGATAACCTTCAGGAGCCCCATAAAAGTCATGTTTAGCACTGGTACTACCATAGCAATCAGGATGAATGGTTTTGGATATCCCAATTCCTCAATTACTGAAAATATACAGTTGCTTTTGACAAAGTTAACATTAGCTTAATTATTGTTTAGATGTGCTATGTTCAGGTGCACGTCACAAATAGATAGTTCTAATATTAAATTAATAAATAGTAAATTTTATATATACAGATGAATATGTGTACATAAATATTTCCAGATTTTTATTTTATTTACTTACCATTGTGCTACTGTTGCATATTTTATGACCCTATTTCCAGTTAAAAGAGCTGAAACATGAAAAAGACTGTTTGAGACTCTTTACCTCATAAACAAAGATAATACCAGTTATAGGGAGTTAAATTGCATTGCCCGGTTCAGGGTACGACGAAGATGATCGTCATTCTTAATCACCAGCCATTGATCTTTGACAGGCCAGCTGTACGATCAATTATTGCGTAAGATTTAGCGAGCTACATTCTTGTTCTATTTTGTTTGCACATGCGTCGTGTTGGCATTTGTTTTGATCTATTAAGCACCAAGTTGAAAGCCTTACCTGCTGATAATCGATTTATGATTCAGTGGGTAGCCCGCAACAAATAGGGGCGTCGCTGAGCGATAGAGACTATTGGCGGAGACTTCACAATAGAGGCTCATGATTTCCAGACATTATGATAGAATGTTTTATTACACGCTTAAATTGTTGCCACGCTACGGTATAATTTACACCCATGCAATCAACGTTAAACTGACTTTACATATGGAAGCTGAAGTCGGCATTGTGTACACCTATTGTGAATTTGAATTAGTTCGAGTTTAAAGTTATTATATCGTCTGTCACTCACTTCATACGAAATTAGATTTTATCTGAATATTTTTATCCTCTTTATCTTCCTTTCTTTATCTTCTTTCATTCGCCTTTATACCCGTTGCTAACTGGTAACAAAAAATTATAAGGTTATGCATAAAGGGGTTATTGCTACCTTGACCACATACATTAAATAAAACATACAGAAAACATTACCTTGTTATTGCCTCGAAAGTTCTTAGAAAGCGTCTCATCGATAATGATCAGAATCTTATTTCGTTCACTAGTCACGAAAAATATCGGGGTGAGGTTAAGTAGTATGCCATCTATAAAATAAATTCAATAGAGTTTAATAACACGAAAATAAAACTGAAGATGTAGAAGAACTGTAAACAGCAAATTAATAGTAATATCATCCATGAACTCAGGTATGTACACTCGTACGATTTATGTATCGACTGGAATTTCACCAAGGATATTTATCTTCTTATCAGCGGAAGAATTATGTGTTCCGTTCTCAAAACGCTTCATTAGTTGGTAATTGTAGCCTCGATTTTTTCATCAGGTACAAGTCAAAGCCGGATAATCACGTTCCCCACTCGTAGCCTCTCACCGGCAGACATCCATACGTGCCGATTGAATGCACATTGTCGTCCATTGAAGTAGCAGGGTGAATTATTCGGAATGCAACATTAATGTCACGGAAAGAGCAGATCGTTGAACGCCGCATGTTTGTCGAACGGTCCTGCCGTTAGAAGGAGGTAAACAGACACGGGAGCTGCGTCAGTCTGCGAAATTGAATAGACGCGTTCGGCACGCGCTGTTGCCAATTAAATTCCAGCGCAATTTATCCTTGCCAGTTCTGCCGGCATTCCGTATTACTCTCGCCGGCTTTTCGATAGGGGACTCTTTGTGTTACCATCGCTACTTCGCACACCTTCCTTCGGTCTACGGTAGAGGTCAGTCTAATCCACCGATTCGTCACTGCTCGTAATGGAACTGACGATAAGCGTCAAGAGTATTCATCACTAATAACGGCACAGTCACGACGCGATTTGGTAATCCCTACTTACCGGTTGAACATACGGTCGATATCACAAGCTTTCTTACAACAATGAGAATAAAGCGAGAAACACTGTTGGACACGTTTATCGAGGCACGTTGGACGGCAGGATATTTTGTCTCCGAGTCAACGAGTTGAGTTTATCCTAGGCGCTTCCGTCGATCCTGGTAATTTACTTTTTCTCCTTTTCTGCTCGTTCGACTTGCAACCTTAATTATTCCCCGGCCAATGACCGGTTGTCATCGACAGCCTCAATGACGAGCGCGAATGGACCACCCCGAAGCTCTAACCGCGCACCTACAGAGCTGTATCCAACTGTACTTTCTCTCTCACTTCTACCGTCACATGATCGGTTCTTTCGACGAAGAAACTCGGGTAAAACTGGAGTGAGTTTTACGCTGCTCTGTTACCGGATTACGTAAATGGGATGCGCCGACTGGCCGGTCTTTTTATTCGCGATAAATCACGGCGACCACCGTGCGCTTCGAGTACGTGAAAGCAGCAGGCGGAGGCAATTTGATGTGTCGATGACATTTTTGCCTGTCGCCGGTAATGCCGGTACTTTGACGCTATAGCTGACCCGCACATTGGGGAAAGGAAATGCGACGATTTATTTCTCGGCTGTCCTCTCGATGCCAGAGGACCATCAAATTTGAACGATAGTGCGCAAAATAACTATTTTCTCTTTTCCTTTTTTTTCTTATTCCAATAAGCGATAGAAAAGTGAAGCAACTACAAGTAATGGAATGTAATAGCAATGATCAAAAATAGCGGGGAGAAAAAGGGATCTGGTCCCAGTGGCGCCAATATGGCCAAAAAGTCAACTAAAATTGACCAATCAGGTTTGATCTGGAGGCTGATCGAATCTATATTGGATCGATTCGGGCATAATCATCGGGAGAACTGCATACGCAGTCGATACACCAGAAGACTTCTGTGTACTCAAATTCGTTTACCGATTTGATCCATCAAATATTTTGTAGCGATGGATACGTCCACATTGCCACGCGTGCAGGATATTTTTTATTCCTTCTATTGGATCATAATCGAATTATCCGACTACAGCGTCAAAATCGTGATCAAACATTCAGGAACTTTCGCATTTGTAATCATCAATCGACTGAACTTTTATGGCGCAGTCGGTATATGGTAAGAATATACCTATACAATTTTTAACATGATGAGGAAACAAACGCGATTTGCACGTGAAACTGCAATATTCTACTGGGTTTAAAATAAATGGTTACCCTTAGTCTCATGAAATTCGTATATCAAATGTCGGTGAAAAATAGGATTTCCATGAAATAATCGGAAGTTTATTCTAATATCTCGTTTTCTAGACACGAAAATATGATAGAGTAAGAGGTACGTTTAGAAGTCTAAAGTCACTAGCGACATCTATGACAGATTAATTTAAATTACCCGGTATGTCGTCTCAGAGAGAAGGTACGTCGCGACGTGCCGTTCGTCACTCCGAATTCACTTACCATTTTGAGATGGCAGCTCCTTAAATGGATCATAGGTTACTTCATAATGGCGACGTCAGTGTTTGTTACGCAAGTGCGTGTCTATCTTGGATTGTCACAATTAATGCGAAATACTCTGATTAAAATTAATCCAGTCTCCAACACGTGTATTTTATTTCTAACCTAAAGCCTAACCTAACGCAATATACGTCTGCATCAAATCAGTGTAAAAGGAATTCATTTCTTATTTAATACCTAAAGAGGTTCATACTTAGAGAGGTTAGAAAATATAAAGAATGAGGTGATTATTACAATTTGCTAATTATTATATTATTTATTTTAGGCTATCGAAAAACAAAGTTATAAGACGAATCATAAGAAGAAGTATTTTTTAATATAAAATTCAATAAATATTACGTTAAAACTATTATTACAGTGGTTATAACATACCACAAGAAAGGGGATTGAAATATTCTTCGGTGAAAATTAAGTTTTCACGGTTAAGCTGATTAAATGTACTCTTTAGACACTCCAGTGCATCTTTTATTATCAAAGACACTTACAGAAATACGTTAAACCATTCGCTAATTTCTCAAACAAAGTAATGAAACTCCTTTGACAACGTCATGCCACTTATCATTCTGGATAGAACAAAGTGCAGCAAGTGTACTCGAAATGATTGTTGCTAACAAAAGCTGAGCGTAAAATTGAACGACCATCGACATCAGTAATGCGAGTGGAAATATCGGAGCATCGAGAATTGCTGTTCTTACTTTTTTTTCGGTACCGATAATCAGCGACGTGCGTTACATGTGCCTTTTGAGGCTCGCATTTCGTTCGTAAAGAGAACGCATTTCTGACATTTCAGAGTTTAATAATACATTAATAATTTGAAATATGCGTAAAGGAATTAAAATTTATGTACAAATGTTTTTATCATTATAATTTCATTATAAAAATGATACTACGAACAAAGTGTAAGTTAGATTTGACATTTGATACCAATTAGTAGCACACGTGATCCTTTATCATTTTAGTATCGCTCTTGACATCGTTGATTTATACACACATGTACAAATAAATTGATTGACATAATTTGTACATATTTATACACATTTGTATTTGTCATTAATTTTCTCTTAACAAAATAATATTTACGATAGCAAATCGAGTAATGAGTTTAATTTATGACATATATTATAATTGACTAATTTAATATTTATTTTATCAAATTATTTTATCAAACGTTACAAAATAGGTTATGTATAATAGTGTAAATGAGAATGGATTTAATATTAGTTTTAATACAAAATAATGGATTTTAATTAGTTTAAATTGTACCAAAGATACAAATATTTATTATTAATCATTATCGATGAAATAACAAACTTTATAGTAGTATCGCATAGTATTAATATAATATTTCTATAGATTTATATACAAGAATTTCTTAAATCATTTCTATTGTAAGAACTAGTTATATTTAATCCCTATTATACATAATTAATAGTTTCAATATCTTCACTCCACCACTCAAAATTAATCATTCTTTTTAAAACGTATTAACAAGAAATATAAGACTAGGAACCTAAATTGTCACAAACACAAACTAATGCAGAATAAAAAGAAATATTATCTATGCACAGAATTTATCCATTGAACAGAACAGTTGCTAAAGGTTTTTGTTGTTTCAGAGCCTCGGCGGACTTCAGGAGGACTGGAAGAAAAAGTGGCCTGTCATGAACGGATTCCAAGCACTTCTGACGTTCCTCAGCATCATCGTGACCGCGGATACCGCTCCATCGGAGAAGCACAACGGGCCCGGAAACGTATACCATGGTAGGTAAGTGCACTCACAGCCTGTTACAATCCACAGCCAGCGAATCCTCAGCCAGATGTACTCTGCCACGCGAACTGTTCACCCAGCAGGCCATCTCAGTCGACCTGATTCGATCACTGTTCTCCCCCGTGTCCTCCGGCTGTCTCGCTTGATTACCCGAGTTTGCCATCTCGCTAACAAATGCCCCATAACTTTCCCGACACGTTCTTTCGGTCTTCCGCTCCCTCGACCGTGTCACCGAGGATTTTCCTTTGCCGAACAGGGACCACCAGGGACGATCGTATTACGCTGTTTCTTGCAGGAACTTGCAGCTCTTTGTCTTCGGGAATAAGTTTCTTCCTGATTCGATCGATGATTAAAGTTTAGTGGACACGGCGACCGAATTGCTTAGCAGGGGATTTGTTCAGAGTTGGGGTAGTACAGGTATCTCACGTTGGGGGAGTAGCGTTGCTATGGCGGCGATGGGAGCTAACATGACTAAATCCTTCTTCAGTTTTTGACTACCTCCATTAGTACTGAGTACACCTAATCGATGGGTGCCGATTAACGGTATTTTACAATCTCGTGAATTTTATACACTTTTATTATAGGTAAAAAAGTTTGGTAATCGGACTGTACAAATTTAGCTTACAAAGTTGATTTTCTATGAGATACCCGATTTATACACTGGTCATGAATTTCATGCTATGCTTTAATTTTAGGTACCTTCAAAAAGAATTGAAAAATTGATTTTATATTACACTTCAATTATAAATTATTTAATAATTTATTTTATTTAGTATTAACTATGCTTTTCCCGTATTCCAATTTCTTTAGCTGGAGTCACCAAAATTTTCGTATAAAATATTCTCAAAACCGATGTACCTTAATTCCTAACCTTTTCTATACTCTAAATTCATCAGCACTATTCGCCCAGGTCTCCACAGCTAATATTTCTAACCCCATTCCTAGGATCTTTATATTAAACGTTTTTCCTATACTATATATATTCTAACGCAATTCGCAAAGATCCCCGTATGGAATATTTTCAAAACTGTGAAACCGCGTGCAGAAGAGAGCAGAACGTGGAATTTCGTTAGGAACTGCAACGTACCCCCGTTTTACAGTGAACGTTCCTTAACCGAACCTCTTTTCTTCCCGAGTGTTCAGGTACACGAGAGACATACACGAGCCGGAATTTTTGATCCCAAGAAGAGTGTTCAAGGATGGCAGCTTCAACACGTACTCGCTGCCGAATTTCTATGATCGGCAGGAGATCAGCGAGCGTAGGAAGAGGTCGATCGCGGAGGGCGAGCAGGAGTCGGAGAGCGATAAATTGCACCTGGTGCTGCCTTTCAACGGGATCGAGCACCACGTGGAGCTCGACCCGTATCACGAATTCATCTCGCCCGACATGGTGATCGAGACACGCGGCGCCGGCCTGAGGCACAACTTGAACGAGGCTTTGCGATTCAAGAGGGCCGACGATCAGCAGTGCCATTATCGGGGATTCGTTAGGGGCCACGACCCATCTAGGGCTGCTCTTTCTCTATGCGACGGAGTGGTTCGTACATTTTGTTCTTTAAACTTTTTTGTCTTCATATCTTTAAGGTTAGGTTTCATATTCAACCGATCCTAAGCTTTAATGGCCATTTTTCTTATTTTCTACTATTTACTTCTTTCATTCAATTCTGTTCTAGGTAATTTTCTTCAATTTTGAAAATAGGGTCTTCTCATTCTTTTGTTTTGATATCTTTGAGGTTAGATTTCACATGCGATTGATATTAAAGTTCAACGGCCCTTTTGTCTATTTTTCACTCTTCCTTTATCATTCAGTTGTTGTGGATTTAGATCATTTCCTCTGACAAAAATTCAGCATTGAAGAGGTTAATCTGTAGGACATTAATGGACATTTCTTATTTTTGTTAGGGTAAGTAGTAAATAAAGTAGTATTATAATGACCTACAACTAGTATAATGACTTAGATATCTTAGTTTTCTCTTATGATAGTTAATGGTAGTTTTTATTGCTAGCATATAGTTATTAGTTAGTATTACCTTTCCTCTTTATTCAACTGCCTAAAATTTAAATTCAATTGCAGAATTATGCAGAATCATTCTTTTCCACTTTTAATATTCACCCTCGTAGCGGTTAACCTGTTGATCATTTATATTAAAACAAATTAATATAACGCTGTGGTAATATTAATTGTTAGTGTATTTAAATAAACACTATGTATCAAAGTGTGAATTCTATCCAAAAAAAAAAATGTTGCAAAAGGAAGTGAAAATTGTTCTTATGAAGTTCTTATGAAAAATAAAGAAGCATTCTTTTCGTTCCTCCATCTTTATTATACGTCGAAATCAACCAAAAAAAAAATGTTGCAAAAGGAAGTGAAAATTGTTCTTATCAAGTTCTTATGAAAAATAAAGAAGCATTCTTTTCGTTCCTCCATCTTTATTATACGTCGAAATCACAGTATAAAATCAATCACGTAGCCCCCACCATAAACACACGGTTCAAATTAATTCTAACCGATGATTTGCTAATTCTTTAGAGGTTTCGTGTAACTAAGACCATAGACAACCATAGAACACTTTACACGATTGGTTTGCGTCGACACGATACAGTCCCAATAAAGCAAATCCGCACGAGCTGCGTGTTGCGCATGCGCGCGCGCGCATCTCTCGTGCAGACTAATCAAGCCGCTTATTACGCACTTAAGCGAATGCAAATTAATATAAGGTATTTGCATTTAGATCGACGCATGGACGGCCCATGTCGTCGATTCCATGCGACGATCGATCGTAAATTTCGGATCGGGACGAGTCCACGTGATCGTTTGGTCGCGATTCAATCGGATGATACCTCGTCTAATTCCTGTGAGAATTTCGAGAATTCAGCTGCGAAACACGTTGACAAAGTGGCTCTTGCTTTCAGCTTGATGCAATTGCCGCACTGCATTGCGAGACGCGATCTGCATAATCTCCACCTCTCAGTGACAATGATCCGATCTTGCCTGCTAGCCGGAAGGGCGATCACTGCTTGTCACGAAGTAGGGAAACAGTAGACGATAATTGAGGAATATGAATTTCAAATGACTCTCGTATAATCATTTTTCTTAAACGAATTATTTTAAGGAATGTACAAATTAGGTTTCCAAGAGAGGTGAAACTGAAAAACACGATAATAGGTGTCATTAGTTCGTTACTAGATTCCATTAATGGGTAGAAGAATTTACATATATACCTGTATATACGTACAGCCTTGTACGATTTTCCAGAAAATTAATTGTGGAGATGAAGTAGGAAATGAAGACCTTATAAACGTTGCATTTAAAATATTTTATGAGACACCATGGCTATAGGTATTTACGTTGACCTTATCTTCAAATCGAGACTGAATTTAAAAGTTAATTTTATTGGTTATGTTCGAAGGGAAAGTTGCCTGTAAGAGACATACGTAAGGTTAGGTTTTAACTGGAAACATATACATATACTGTAGAAACGATAGAAACGAAAGGAAATTCACAGGAAGAATGCTCACTACTAAACACAATCATAGAAATAGGTCACACGTATTCTCTTTAGTGGCCGAAATGTAAACACGTCTCAAGGCCAGCGTGCTGTGAGGGGGTCAAGGGTAGGGGGAGATTAGACGGTGGATCGGATTACTCCTGCTCCTGTGCAGTCTCGCGAGGCATCTGAACGGACATAACACGATGAAACATTCCACAGAGCCGTCCAAATAAAAGTGAACAAATATCAAACACTTTATAGCAACGTGATAATCGTATATCTACTATACAAGTGCTTAACCATTAACAAGGCTTGTAATCGTGAAACACCCATTTCTGTCGTCGTATTTATCTACACTGCACTTCACACCTTCAATTATTATTCGCGACACGATCATTTTGAAGAATTGAAAACTTCCAAAGCTGGAGATGTTGAAAGGCGAAGATGCAATCGTAACTTAAAAGACTTCTAGGTTAACGTTTCCAGGCGTGCTGTTACACAGGACAGGCGAAGTTACTCGAATCATGTGACTACCGGTGAATCGGATTGGCTACGGGTACGTTATTGAATCGGTAAATTTTCGCGAATATCGAAGCGGTGCGCAGGCCTCTCTGTCCACCGGACTACAATTTGCCGTGAATTACCGAAGGCCTGTTTGTTTGCACTCCGGGTAGGCTCGGACGCGTTTTGAATTATACCGTTAGCTCTAGCCACGATAAACGTTGCACAACCGATCCCCGTAATTAAGATCGTTGGATTGTAATTTCCGAGGCGTGCGCGCGTAATTTCGCGATTCCGCGAATGGAAATTCGGTAGGCTTAACCTCTTAAGCGGCCAGTTCGCTTGCCGGAAGCACGCTCTGCAGGTGTTATTGGTAACTATCAAAGGCGGGTTAACTTGACATATTCGCGGCAAATGTAAAATATCGTAACTGAATAACGAATTACGTATGCACATAATATATCGAAATATGCAAAATATATGCATAATAAATCGAGAAAATTTATTTCTTATTATTTAAATTATAATATATTACAATGATATTTTTTCGAAATCTATAGTCTTTCTGTTACATATTGTTGAGGAAATATATTTCAGGTCATGTTGCACTTTGACATTGTTAAAACGCTACTAATTTCAAACGAAATATCAAAGCTATTTATTTCGGATTAACGTTATTTGAAATTTATTCATATTTTTATGTGCATATTAATATTCATAAAAATAAAATTTACGTTTAACCTTGTATCCGCAATCGTCGGATATATTTTCCATTTGTAGAAGAAATATTCAATCTGTAAAATATGCAGAATAAAATCTATAGTTTTAGAATGCCCCAAGGATGAAAAGGATTTTCATCTAGGCCTCATAACCTTACCTATTTTTCATAAAAATATGCATTTGCATAAACATCCGCTGTTTAGTCGTAACCTGCACCTCACACTGTTATTAAACAACAGGAAACCCAAAGATGTTCTCCGATAAATACGCAAACGATTTAAATGATCGATTTTGAGTTCGTGTGCGTAGCCTTTAACACTAGAATTACCAAACCAGTCAAATCGACTGGTTTCAGGCTTCCTGTTTCCACAGACACTGGAAACATGCAGCTGCGTTTAACAAAATTAACGTGGACTTTTATCGACAGATCATAAATTCTTATTTCTTTTTATTATACCTATGTGTACTATATTTAGATACAGGTCGATAGTTCCAACTCTAAAGTTCCGTGACAAGTCAACTCGTCTTACGTACTGGTCGAGCATTTTCCAATGACGAGCTCGATGGGCAAGAAACGTGGTCACGTGGGCCACTCATACACTCGCGCATCCTTCTCGAAAGCAAAACCCCGATTACAAGTTCGGCATCGTTCGGCTGTCGTTCGTTCGGTGATCATTCGAGTGGTGGGGGGTGCGTAATTGCGTCTTGCTTAAGCCTCGTCCACCGTGGTTCCGCGTTCGGTATCTTATTTACAATAACGTTGATTAATGAGAAGTCGATAAGTGCCTGTGGATCGCGTGCAGGTTGGCTACGTGCAAACTAATCACGGTCGGTACTTCATCGAACCAGCGCACGAAACTGAGCCACAGGAGGACGGACAGCACGTACACATCGCTTACAAGAGGGATGCTACGCACAGAAATAAGGAGGGCCAGGACACATCGGAAAGGCGCTGCGGGACTAGCGGTAAGTAGCCATTGTTTCTATAACCTTTATCGAGTCTCTCGTCGAGGGTAACGTCTCACTGGGAATTTTCGAATTTTTAAAATAAATTTTAGAAGAAATCTGATACGTGAGAATTGTAAACTATGGAACGTATAAAAATACAATTTTTTTGTTGTTCTTCGCGGGTAGACAAGTGGGAAGTGGCGTGGGCGGAACAATTGGCCAACCGACAGAAACGCCTAATGGAGGATAATCCCGGCGAGCAGAAAAAGATTGCGTCTCATACCCACAGTATTCATCGTTACATAGAGATTGGGTTGGTCGCGGACAGGAGGTTTCTCGACTATTATAACAACAGCAACTACGAACAGTACCTGTTGACTATCATGAACATGGCGGCGGATTTTTATCACGACAGATCTGTGGGCAATCAAATAGACGTGGTCGTCGTACGGATGATATATTTGGAGAAGGAAAAAGAAGAGGTAATATGAAACTAACGAGAGGAAAAGTGTAAGGATAGGCTGGATGTCGATTAAATTTATCTTATCGGTGAATGTAAGGAAAAAGAGAATGTAAACATTTACGCACTTGGTTCAGTTCCTTATAAAATTGATTGTATTTAATTTAAAACTAAGAAAATAAGCAAATGTAAATTATTAGATTCTCATTGTCTCACTAAATCTATCCACGTAAAACATGGTAGAGTCGGGTACGAGGTATTTTATCAATAGGATTTTACCCGTAGATAGATTTGCTTATTAGTCCTGCAGCTGAAGATACATTGAACAGTTTTGCCAAATGGGCCCAGAAGATGAATCCTAAGGATCACTCGCACCCCAACCATTTTGATATAGCGGTTCTCGTAACCAGGTAAAATCTTATCCCGAATGTTCCTTAAAAATCGATTTTTAAATTTTACATTTGTTTTTCTAATATCCTATCTTCCATGTTTCCAGTCTCCTCTAGCTTCTGATTTTCTTAAACCTTCTGAACCTAATCTGAAGTGTAAAACTGTATTTATATACCTTTAACCCTTTTGATTTGGGGTGATTACCCATTGATCATAGACCTAGCTGATGTCATGCCTATCAGATATAGGGCAGGAAGGGTTGGTCAATCTAGGTTGATGGTGACCTCTTCTATATTAGTTAATTGGATTGAAACACATCCAAGATTTTCTTAACATCGATCACTATAGTAGTAGCTGTCCCGTAGCCTCTAAGTCAAGAATTACATTTACACTCACATATTCCTAGATGAGTAAATAATGTTGTCTTGAAATATCAATGAATCGACGTGTTTCAGGTACGATATTTGCGCAGAAGTAACTCAGTGTGAACTGATGGGATTAGCATTCGTCGGGACAGCCTGTGAGCCCCAAAAGGCAGCCTGCATCAACGAAGACAGTGGCTTAGCGCTTGGAATCGTAATTGCCCATGAAGTTGGTCACGTGTACTGTCCATACACGTTTCTTTGCTATCTCTTCATTTCTATCGGTATCTTTTAACCTTTGCGAACTTGACACTGTCGGTTATGAATCTTCGCGAATATATAACGGATATTTCTGCAAATGTACATATACTTTTATACGAAGTAGATGAAATTGTGCGACATGCAACAAATAGTACCACGTTTTGTCATTAGAGGATTCTAAAAATATAGCATTTAGTTTCTATATTTAAAAAATGTAATAAATTTTGTTCATATATTCAGCCCATTTCTATATACTACACCTGCATAAATATCCGTTGTCCACTCATGAAATTCGAATTCAATGCTTTCTTTGAAGTCGTTTATGGAATGTGTTTATTTTAATTAAGTCCTATTTTGAACCGTTCTCTATTTTTTAATGAACATGCTACAAACACTGTGCATATTTGGACGATTTTAACAGCATGGGGTTAATAAAAACGGGAACCGTGTCTAATAGGATTTTCTGGAAATATTTCATTCAGTCTATTGTGGTGCAATTTATAAAAGATAACACGAATTTTCAGGATGGGTTGTTCACATGATACCCTCGAAATCAGTGGTTGTCCATCTCAGGATAAAGACACGAGTTACTTCATTATGTCACCCTACGTCTACCTCTTCACGATCAGATGGTCAACTTGCAGCAAAAAATTCATCACTAACCTGCTAGAGTAAATTTTTCAAGTCTGTTCGATGTTATTTTCACCTGCCTTGCCCTATTGCTAGTTGAAGGTCTCGTATCGATTGATTAGTAGCGGCTTAGGCGAGTGCTTGAACGACAACCCGAGAAGTCCGTCAGAGAAATTCAAGTATCCGAATATGTTGCCTGGAGCTATGTATGATGGCGACTTTCAGTGTCAAATGAAATTTCCTGGGTCGACGCTTTGTGCAGGTGGCGGGGTACGATTCGCCATTCACTGTTACTATTTACAATAAGGGTCCTCAATGTGAGGTACCTTCACAGGTATCATGTAATTTATGAATACAAAATTGAATATATATATACAGGATACTCCCTTAAATCTTTCTATTCCAATATTGTATTTTTTATTATATTTTCGTTACGTTTTTCCAACTATACAAGATCAGTCACATATAGGTTTTTAGGTGATACAAGAAGTACAAAAATTTGAGAACCCTATGACTATTCAAAGGGTCTCATGAAAAAGTTTAATTCAGTAAAATTATAAAAAATGGAATAAAATATTGAAATCGGCTAGTTTGCACAGTAAGAAAATAATTATATTAAGATAGAGTTTTTTGTATTAATCCATTACAGAATTAGATTCGAGCTTCCTCTGACGTATCAAATGCGTTTTCACATCTGGACCGATTCAATTATACCGGCGAGGAGCGTGGGAAATAGAATCTAATTTCTTCATAATGAAAATTACTCTCTCCCTTATATATTTCGTTATACCGTTCCTCAAAGAATAATTCGATTGTCCTTGTTCCCATTGCTAATCTACGGTTCACGTGTTTCAGGCAAAGATGTGTAGCCAACTGTGGTGTGCAGTCAACAAAACCAGCTGTCTCACGCGCGGTTCACCCATGGCTGATGGAACAAAATGTGGCGAGAACAAGGTTTGTTCATTGAATTTGGTGAGAACAATTATATGGCAGTATTAATCATCATTGTGAATATTATCACATTTTAACTATTTAGGGCATTATCTGTTAAGAAACGTTCTACCTGTTTTTGATGTATTTATACACAACCAGTTTTCAGATTTCTCTCATTGTTAGTTTTGTTATAGATTTAATCAACATGTATTTAACCCCTTCCCCTACAATATCGTGTGAGACTCGTGGTAAGGAAATCGGACCAAATTTGAGTATCACGTGTGAGAGCCGTAGTTCGTAGATAGGGCCCAATGTAAACGGCACGGGTCAGGTTCGTGGTTCATTTTTGAAGAGGTCGTGTACAACGTTACGTCTTGACTATGGCACGCGCCATCAGAACTTAAATGGTAAGGCAAGGGGTTAATAAATACATGGAAATAAATGTAGGACAATTATGATAATGTAGGACGGAATTATATCCAGAGCTGTCGTAATTTAAATTAAAATTCCTATGCAATCAGAGACTTCTTCTTATCTTAAAATCCAGGTGCTCCAAAGAGTTAAACGTCCTCTTAGCTGTTTCTTTGTTCGTTTCACCATTAGTGTCTATTTCTCCTCTTTTCTTTTTTTTTCTTTTATGAGAAAAATTCTTACGTTTTTCATTCAGAGAGATTACTCGCGAATTTTTTATACAGCATATAAAAGTTTCGTAACTGCCATTTTCCTCGCCCAGCAAAGGATTATAGCGCGAAATGTAAGAGTAGAGGGCGTAGTCGAAACGGAATAATTTAAAATTTCCATGATGCGTCGTAACTCACGCGAAAGGCGCACAAAGCATGCCATAACAATGCGAATGCAGCCGGAAATATTCGTACGAGTAACAGCCCTCGTGAAGTCTCGATCTGTCGTAGAAAATGTAAGATATGGTTCCCAGTTGGATTCTAAGAACGACGTATCACGTTTCGCGAACTTGCAGCTTTTAAAGTACGCGATTATCTTGAAATTGTCCTACCCGACATTTTGGCAGTAATTAAACTTTCTAAATTGATCAGTAATAAGAATAATAATATTCACTATTATTGTAAAATACTGTCATAAAACGGTACCAGTAAATCTAACCGAATTTACCAGAATCACGATACGACTCGCATCAAGGTGTGAAGTTTAAACGGATTACAGATTAAGAAATACGTAATCGGAAATAAAAATTAAAGAAAACTCCATCAGAATTTTTTTATCCTACGATTTTCTTTTCTTTTTTTTTTCTTGTAAAGTTATTAAAAAAGAAAATCGTTATTTGTTGAATACAAATTTTATTTCTGTCGACGGCGTTATGTCCAACATGGTGTGGAATGGGTTAATACCAGCGCATTCCGTTCCGCAAAATTTTTCGTAAAATTTTCCGCAAAAAGACAATAGCAAGCGAAGAGCGTTTCGCGAGGAAACGAGCAGTGGAATAAAGAACTCGCCTGTATTCAGTGGTGCATTCACAAGGAATGCGTGGACATGGGCACCCGACCGAAGGCGGTGAACGGTGGCTGGGGCCAATGGGGTCCCATGGGCACTTGCAGTAGAACCTGCGGCGGTGGCTTGAAATACGCCGAGAGGGAATGTGACAATCCGCCGCCCGCCAACAAAGGCAGATATTGCATCGGAGAGAGGAGGAGGTTGGCCATTTGCAACACCGTGGTAAATTCTACTGTCTTTCCGGCCGAATCACCCGTGTGATACCGTTTCGACGGTTCCCCGTCCCTTTCTAACTTTATTTCTTTCCCTCTACTGTATTTTCCTTTTCTCCGCGCTCCTGTGCTCTATTTTATCTTAAACTGCACGCTGGATATTGTTTTGCCGCTTTAGTTTCTTTTTTTCTCTATCTCTTTTGGTTCCGAGCAAGAAAGGATATTTGATAGTGAAAACAAAATTTTCAAAAGCAATTACGAGACTTTCACGATTCTCTTGTTAGAAATAATGGAAGAATAAAAACACGTGCAACTTCGTTGTTATTTCAGGTTTATTTGTGCTCTTTCACAATGGCGATACGTGATAAGGGATATAGGTTAGGTATACGCAGTGGCGGGTCTAGCAGGTCTGGATGGGGCGACCACCTTCCCCTCCGAGCTCAGAGTATAATTTAAAAATATTTTATTATTCCTGTTTTATTTACTAAGACGTATTGTAATTATTGTGATATTTTATATTGTATAAATAATTAATACAAATTTAATTATTTAAACTACAGTATCAGATAAAAATGTTAAAATATAGGTTACAAACAAATTTTAAATCGTTTGAAAAGGATTAAAAATGTATGTACCTTTGGATATTTTTCCCATTTCCCCCCAGAAAGCTCCTGAATTTACTTCCAAGTATACATATGTCTATAGAAACATTTAATAATGACAGTGTCCCGATACTGATTCTGCGTAGCTAGGTTCCTTAGTTGATACCGATTACGTCTGTGCAGAAGCAGCTCATGAAACAAAGGAATCAAATCCATCATTTACATGAAAGATAAGTGGGAATAATGAAAAAATGTGTTGGGATCTTCTGACATATCGTGTGAACACTGTATAGCACGAGTATCGTACTATGTTTCCTCTTTAATGGTTCGTAAACTATACATTTAGGCAACTTACTTATTCTTGAATCACTTTCGATATAAATCTAATCAGGAACGGAGAATTTTAATTGCCTTCTCTATAGGGGTAATTTTAATTTAAAGTTTCCTTCAGCCTAAACTTCGTAGCCTAGTTTCACGGAAATCTAGTTAGATGTACAAAATCGCGTGCACCCACATGTACATGTGCGCATGCTTGATCGTGAGATACCATAGTACTCCTATTTTCTTCATACATAATAGCTTATTTTTGGAACGATTTAGAACTCTACTGTTTAATTTTCATTGTAATTTTATATAATGATGTAAGATTGTATTGGTCAGTATGATATTTATTAACTAATATTGTGCTTATTTCATACTCATTGCCGATAGACTTTCTTTCTTTTATCATTTCACGGTTGTCGTTTGACGCTCCACTGTAAGATACATGTGTCTGAATTTAAATAAATGGCACGTGATATAAACTGGATGTCGATGTTGAGGTAATTTCTCCATCCTGTAACATCAACGAGTTCATTAAAAACGGCAGATAAAATTTTAGAAAGAATCGGAAATAATATTCTCTTTCGATTTATGTCGTAAATATACGCTTATCAACACGCTTAAACGATTGCCAATGCATTACTCTTCTACGCTTTCTCTATCCCGTGTTATTAATCCTTTACTGTACCTTTAACTCTAACACTTTCTGTTAATTCATCACGCTTCTTGCTACGGTGATCGGTAACCTTTGTGGCAGCGATGTATCCTTCCGATGAAAAAAGAAAGAAATGATGCTCTATTGTGCAGCCCTGCGATCCTAAAGAACCGTCGTTTCGAACGCTGCAGTGTAAGTACCACGACTATAGCAAGTTCCTGAGCATCAAAGGCAACCATACATGGACCGTGTACAATGATCCGAAATTAGATCCCTGCGGGTTGTACTGCATAAATGAACTTATGGAATTTCTCCAAGTCGAACCAGTGGCGAATGATTCGACCCCCTGCAAGCCTGGGACGAATAACATGTGTATTTCTGGAATATGTAGGGTAAAAGAATATCACATCTGTCTTCTTTTCTGAACTTTGTTTTTTTCATTATGTATGATAATGCGAATTATTTCAAGAGACTCACCCTCTTCTGTACCGCATTCAGTCAACAACTAAAGACGACTGGGTTTGATTCGGCAATTGTCGGCTATGACCGTAAGAATGTATTCGGCAATTGTCGGCTATGATCGTAAGAATGTATTCGGCAATTGTCGGCTACAATCGTAAGGATGCATTCGGCAACTGTCGGCTGTATTCGACGATCGTACCGAAGAGATTGAGTTTACGTATTTTTGCGTATTAACAACTAGAAAAGGTTTTGTTTTTATATATAAATTTGATATAATTTTATACGTTTATCTATATATTTTTTGAAAGTTCGTCATTTTTGCGTTTCCTATTTTCAGGTTTTTTATTATATTCGTCAATCATTATTATTATATTATATTATAGAACCGGTCTTTACATTTATTGAAAATCTATAGCTCGATTAGGAACTAGTGACAGGCAAGGTTCAAAGATATGCGACGTTACATTTTGCACGAATATAGACGTAAAATATTACGTAGGCGAATAGTGTAACTCCTCGTTGCTAATTTTTCTGACAGTTTCATACGTTCTGTGGCGGTGTGTTTCAAGATAAAGGAAGTTTACGAATTGATTTAGAAAGTAAGACGTTGGAAATGCAAATGTATTAAAACAACGTGAATTAAATGAGGAAACAGGCAGACGTATTCACGTGATCTACAGTGAAGGAGCATGGCGTATAACACTCGTTATAGAAAGGAACGAGAAAGATGCCTTGGTTTGGAAATTATTCTCTCCATACCATTCGCGCATACCTTTGCATACCTTTCATCAGCTTTTCATTAATTATATTTTACAGCTCGAAGCATTCTGGAAGGAAATTTAGTAATAGCTCTAATTGAAATACCTATCCTTTTTAACGTAATTAAAGGAGATGAGAATTATATCAGTTATAAATTAACTCTTTGTAAGATCATGTGACTTGGAGTTTATATGTATATTTATATTTTTTAATACTCGCTTCAACCATTTGATTACTATATGAATAATTCATTTTTTCGTTTTTTTTTTTTGGTAAAGATCATCAGACTCTAATTTTTAAATCGTTTAATTCCATAGTCTTAGTCTATTCTGTAGTTGATTAGAAATAATTCATTAGCATATTGTAATTAGGAATTACAATTTATTAATTAAATAGCGTATTATCAATGGTATGATATGGGGTACCATCAATACTCGTACATATTGATGAGTATGTGTGAGTCACACCTATTATTACGTTTAGTGTATTTTAATGCGGATTTTATTATAAATTAAAGAATTGTTTTTTTAGCACATAATAAAAAGAAAAGATAGAATTTTTACAAATGAGTGTTTTTGCGTATTAATATAATTTTATCATATGATGTTACAGACGGTTGGTTGCGATTGGGTGTTAGATTCGAATGCCGTCGAGGACAAATGTGGAATTTGCAAAGGCGATGGTACAAAATGCAAGAAAATAAAGGGTTTCTATAATGACACGACACCTGTAGACCGTAAATCATATTTCTTTTTATTATACAATTTTTCAATACTTTACATTACTTTAGATTATAATTTGATTATTCTTAAACTAATTTTTTGTACTCGATTAAATTTTTGGGTAGACAGCTCGTATTAACCTCAACAAATTTTTGTAAAATATTTTCGCGGCGATTTTGATGATAGAAATTTATATTGATATAAATATTGCAAGAATATTTCAAATGCTAAATTCTATGAGATATATTCAACGTTGTCTATTCAATGATTTTACAGTGTAAAGAGTTTTAAAGCAGAGCAAAATACTGATGAATAATTGGAAAATGTTTCAGGACACACAAAGGTAGTTACTATTCCTAAAGGTGCTCGAAGCATACACATATCTGAACGAGCAAGAAATAAAAATGCACTGTCAGTAAGACTCGAGAAAAACGAAACTGCTTACTGTTTGAATGCTGGACTGTAATTATTTTTATTATTAACAAACTAATTTTTACATTTTAGAAGTTTTCCGTGTATAATTTAAATTTAGAAATTAACTTGTAGCTCTATAGTGTTTTCTGACTTTTTTTTTATCAGTAAAAACCAAAATAGATTAATTGTATACTAAGCAACTTTTTAACAATCACAGGAGACTAGAAAGAAGTGGCGACTATTCGTGTGCAAAAGCCGTTCTGGTATACTTGATTCCTGAACCAGATAGAGAGGAAATTGAAATAAAGGGACCTATCGCGGAAGATATTCGAGTAGAAGTACGTCGCGTACTACTCTTATTCCATTTCATATGCAAATTAAAATCGTAAATCAACATTGGATTCATTCTTTTATCATTTTTTCGCCATGAGCAAGGAACATAGATAAAATTAAAATGTATCAAACGAATTACGATACATCTCTTGCAAGTAATAGAAAATAGGTTAGATAGTGTTAAGAGGTTGCGAATTACATACGAATGTTCGTCATTATACGGCACCTTGATCCTAAATACGCACATTAATGATTCATTGTGATGGCAATTTTAGTACGTGTACTACCAACCGTACTCGAATCCTGGGATCAATTATGAATATTACGTGATGTCAGGTGATACATCATATACACCGAAATACATATGGGATTTCACAGAATGGACCGGCTGCAATGCAAAATGCGGTGGCGGTACAATGGTAATTTGAATATCTAAGTCGGTTTAATGACGTATAGGGAAATCATTATCGTAGATCCGGAAATACGCTGAATTTAGGTTACCGTGGAAATAACTTCCATGTTATATTTCCTTCTCCACTACAGATCGTTTCTTATGTCGATAAGTTATTATATATAAATTGGTTAATCATAACTGTTTAATTATATATTTCTTCCCATTTCCATTCGATATACTTGTCTTTATCTACGATAATATTCGATTAGATGTAAAAGTAACGTCAAAAGAACGATTGGATGTTTGTTTACCTGATTTAGATCTCAGAGGCTACGTGCATCGAAGAACATGGTGGAAAAGTGAGCGCCGACTTTTGCGAGAGCATACCACGACCAGAACCGAAAAGTCGTATTTGCAATGCTGATCCTTGTATTGCGAAGTACGTGTAGTCATAATTCAAATTTTAATTTAACTCGTATTTTTTGTCGAACAATACCATTGGATAAGTCTTCATCGAGCTTCCAACAGTAAGTGATATGTAGAGTTGAGAAGTTGACTAGCTATCTACAAATGGAATAATACGATTAATCGTATATACTAATATTTCCTTCCGAGACACTACGAAGTAATACGTGTAGTTACGCCAATGTCGTCTTCTATCGCTTTATCTCACTCCATTTCGATATGTTTCTTTTGCTTTCTTTGTCACACGATAGACTTGTAACCGTGATCGCCTTAGCCAATGATGACAATGCGTGTGAGTGTAGGCGTTGCACGATAGCCAATCAGATAGTTTAGCTGTCTTCCCATCTCTGCATATCTTCTGTGCATCGTGCGCAATACTTAGCGAACGTCTATCGTATCTTGAACATGGTTCGATTTAGATGGCTGAACGGAAATTCCATCAATGGTTTATTAACGAGTTTCTTCTGTTGTTATACTGAAATCATGACGTCTCAAGGTGGAGAGTGAGCCAATGGAGTAAATGCAGTGCCTGTGACGGAAAGAAAGGAACGAGACATCGTAAGGTGCAGTGCGTGAGACCGGCTGCGCGCGCAGGTGAAGACGACGTTCAGGCGAATCTGGACGCGTGCAAAGGACGCGTGCCGAAACAAACAGAAGAATGCGTAGGTAAGATGTCAATAGTGTGCCAACCATTTGAAAATTTCAATTTAACGAATAATCCTTTTGCTTTTGTTTCATATTTCAATGATACCTCGATCTTCCTGGAGTCGTACGAATAATCGATCTTTCGCTAAATATTTTCTTCGTTCATTAATCATCGACAACTTAATTGATGCGCCCTGAAAATGCGCGCGGTCATTTATATACAGTGAAAGCTACTTTATTCACGGGTTATTTATTATTTCGTTTCACCGATTCACTGAAAACGCGCATGTTCCCAGGATATGATTTCTTTACTTCGAATAATGGATTTTTGCAATAAATCACGAATGTTGTTCGTATTTTTATAAAATTGACACGTGACATATTGATAAATATCCTAATGAAATATCACGTTTATAGTTGTATTGTCGTTATCGATCGCGTTTCTTCAAAACGTATAGACATACTGCAGCGATTCCTTTTATTTAGTGCTCCGTAGAGACTCGCATACATATTATTCCTCCACGTATACGTATATCTGACAGCGTCGCGTGTAGCTGACTATATGTGGGTGCAAGGCACGAGTGTCGTGGTAAGAGATTTACGGTGTAATGGAAGTAAAATATTGACACTGTGGTGTGAGAAAGAAAGCTGACTGAGACCAGACGAGGGAATCTGTCCAAGTAGACCAAAAACACTTGCTTTGGCCGTATTATAAAGGTATCTCTCCCTTCGTCATCCTCGCTTTTACGTGGCCTCTATTTCGACAACCGTACGTGTCTCCCCTTGAAGCCGTAAATCCAAGACTGATCCAAATCTCGACTTGCCTACCAAACCGATCCTCGTCAAACCTTCGCCTTTCCCTTACAGGCCAAAGACCGTGCAGGAAGCAGTGCCCAAAAAAGGCCCGAAACGTGAACAGAGAAGCCGAGGTCGAGAAGGAGAAGAAGTTGTTGCCTCTGGACGAACAGGACAAGATGGTGGACAAGTTTGTGGACCTGGGCCTGGCCCGGTACCTGGAGAAGGCGTACGGTGTTCCTCGTGATAGCGACGAGATGGAGAAGACGTCTGACACTGCAGACTTCAGAGATCTTCTTCGCGAATGGTCCTTGGTGGACGAAGACAAGAACAAACATGGCGTTTGCGTGCCTAACATAACAACACCCAAGCCAGGGTCGATCATCAAGGACTCTGTACCGATCGAGAATGTGATACTGTTGGAGGCACCGTTCGTAGAGGGGAATCTCCAGTCGAATTTGTCGGATAGGGCGTTCCAGGAAACTGGAGACCTCGTTGGTGTGGGAATCGACACCTCGAAAACGAAAGTTTTTACAGGCGCAGAAGCTGTTCAGAAGATCGAGCAGTTGGAGGGTCATAAGCATACCACACCGCCTAATAGGAAGGAGATTAATACTTATGATAAACTAGCTAGAATCGTGGATTTCGCAAATCACTAATCATTGTTAGAACTGTAACGATTGTATCTGAGCGATTTACACGTAGGATGAGACACGTTGTCCTTCAGGTTACTCGTAAACTGTTGATTGTATAAAGTAATATCTTTAACGGCAGCTACGTAACTCTGGAATATATTGTTTTGTTACCGTTTACTTTTGATATTTAGGTATAGGAATTCAGTTAACTTTTTTTTAGAAATCAATCTGTATTTTCTTGTCGAGAGCTGGAAGAATTTTTTAGTAGATTTTCTGTTACACGTATGCCAATATCTGTCGGCTTTTTTTCGAACAATTCGAGCTAAATTGGAGTGCTTTGTTGTGTACAGTCTAGATCAGCGTTTCTCGATATTTTTGCTTCATGACTCGACATGTTTGTCTGCTACAGTAGCGCGACGCAAGTATCTATTATAAAATTATAACATCACAAAAATTTATAAAATCCGAGTAAATTTCGTTTTTTATTATTTTAATGTAACTTAAAATTAACTTAAAATTTAACTTGACACAATATTGGGTGTCCATCGTGAGTGAAGGAACATCGATTTAAATTTTAGACATAAACGATGAATAATTGTTCAATGTTATGATATAATGTCAGATAATGTCAAAACATCGTATCGTATAAGTATCCACTTCGAAGTATCAAGAAATATAGATAAGTTCTTAACTTATAGTTCTCTGTTAAATATGTGTCAAATATTATTACATTTTATCTTCGACATGTATCATAATTCAATGAATGGACAGTGAAAAGTAGATCTACGTTGGCGGTAACTTAATACTTTTGCAACATGTAATCTCATGAATCGAATGATACGGAACGAGATCCAAACTTGGCTGAAACGATCGTTTATTTCATTTTGCATATGCGGACATATTTTACGGTGAAGGTATCGTGTTTTTAATTGACTTATCGATATTTTAGTATCGTAGCAATCCGATTTATTTAGAAATTATTTTACGCTCCGTCAGTATTGCGGTTTTAAAGCTTTCATCTATCACTCTACCACTGGTTTAATCATTTAAGTAGATTCAGCTTTCATATTGCTACACGATATTCGACACGTTTCACGATCCACTGCAACTTTATTAATTGCAAGTAGAGCAACCAATACACTGATGAGGCGTTACTCGTACATAGACTCTACATTACGTTCCAATATGTTGCACGCAGAAACCTTCGCTATTATATTATCGGAGATGTCGTTTCGAAGCAGCTTCGACGTCCTGTTCAATTTTTTGTATATATTTAACAGCATCCATTCCTACCAAAGTAAACTCTGTGCTGTTGCTAGGTGGCTGGGGTTCGAAATCCTTGGGAAAGTTCAGAGAGTCGTTTGCTTCGTCGCGTTCCAAGATGATGGTGAGCGTTAAATTTTTAATATCCTCCGTGTCGACCACCAGTTCGCCCCTCTTTACGCTGTAAGCTTCCTTTGCTTTCTCCTTGTATTTCCTTCGGGTTTTAGAACTGCTTTTAGAGGAATATTCATCGCCTGAATCAAACAATAGTCTCTATCACTGTCTTGTTGTTCATTACATCACAGGATTAACAAAAAATTAAAAAATAGGAATTGAAAGGTAAAACTAGGCAAAAAATATTGAAATGCAGAAGAAATAATTTCATGGCTAGTATCCTATTTACTAATAGACAGTGAATTTTTATATAAGTGCAATAATATGTAAAAATATTGCAAGATGCATGTAAGAAAATTTATATATGCATTTATGCAAGAAATATTCAATATGTAAAGCAAAATATATATACTTTTAGAATCTTCTAATGATAAAATAAATTTTTTTCGCGGTCTTACACATTTCTTAGAAAAATACGTATTTGCATAAATATCCGCTGTCTACTCTTCAGAATCACTGTTACAATCTTAATCTTAATCTTAATCTTAATCTTCGAATGGTTGATTTAACGATCGATAGATCAAAGTCTCGCTGAGAATTAGGATACTTTTGTTTTTCTGGTCTTGTGTCACGACATTGTCCCGTTTCTCCCGACCTGTGCAGGACTCCTGTTCTTTCGGCTTAGGTCCTTGACAGTAGCTGTCAGCGATAATATCTATATCCTGCTCGGAATGGCCAACGGGACGTACGCATTTGACGGTTCGCTTCTTCTCGCAGCCAACCACGCAGGATGTGCAACCTTGCCAGTCACCGATCATCCATCTGCCATGAACATGATTGGTATTTCAGTGCAATAGATCGACACTCTAATCTATCTTTGTTTATCGATCATGATCTCGACGCAATAGCAATCTTCTAATGAATCACGAAGAGCAGAACATGATTGTCAATAACTTCGTTGTTGTTGTATGAATGTTGCATTAGAAAAATATTGTCAATGAAGCCTTTTCCTGATATATTATATTTTTACTTCTTAACGTGAAGAATATGAAATGCAAATTTGCAGTCAGATAATAGGTATTTTTATTGAAGAAATATTTAGATTTCATCAGGTGTCATATTACCAACTTTACAAACTCATAAAAGCCTAAACAATTTTTGGTAGTTAAATTCCTCTAAAATCACAAGTACTTTCCATACTAAAGAAAAAAAATATGATCATTGGGATTACATTAATTTGGATTTCAAATTTAGAACTCACACTACTATAAGGGCGACATAATTCAAATTTCAAGCAGTTATTCATTCAGTCCTCCATTTTTGTTTTTAAATAAAAAGTATCTTCGTAATGAAGGTGTCACGCTAACCTAGGCAGGCAGGGTGCACGATAACAGGGTTTCACTTTTTCCTCCGGTCTCATGATATTCTTACAGTACGTCTCGTCCACGATACCAGCGAGTTTTTCCAGGCAACGAGGCTTGGAGATCTGTTCACCAGGTCCACAATTCGCGCTGCACCTCTCCCAGTCGACAAAGTCCCACGAGAACTCTGGTTTACGAGGGCTCTTCTCTTTTACACCGAATGAATACCTCACCGTCACATTTTCTTTTGGTAGAACCTATTGGATGAAACAACTTACTCGGTCGACAGAATCACGAGCACGTAAAAACGAAACCAATTTGTCATGGTTCGCGAAACGTATTCAATATGGATAGTTATCCATTGAATGGAAGAAAAAATGGTGTCGTCGAAGGAACCTCGTGTTTGCGTAAAAAAGGTTGCAATGACAATTATATTGCAATGATTCATTAAAATTTTATTATGATTTTACGACTTTGATTCTGAATACGTTCACTTAGCCTCTGGGAATAAGAAGAGCTGTAGTTGCTTCAAAGATATGGAGACGATCCTAGGAACATAATTATTTTTTGAAATTAATGATGATATACATAATAGATCATTCTTGAAATAAATAATTTTCACCACTTTTTAAGAGGTTGAAGGTACTCACTGTTTTTTTTTTTTTTTTTTTTTTTTTTTTTTTTAAAAATAATTCTTATGTGGAAAGGTATTAGAAACTTGCTGTGAACCTGGTTCAAGAAATTTATTCAAAAAAGTAATGGGGAAAAGAGCAAATCAAGAAGATATCACTACCTGCAAAGATTACAACCACTAGATTACAAAAGTGTTAAGAATCAGAAGCATTGTCAAAAATAATACAAATATGCAAAGCTATTTCAAACTTGTGCCTAAACGTCTCAACACGTATCACGTGAAACGATATGCTAAACGAAGACACGGAGCTAATTAGATCTGTACTAATGTCACCATTCGTCGTTCCACGTACCAGGCGAGATATCGTGTCGGAATGCAACGTTTCTTCTAATGAACAGACCCAAGGCTTTCCGACTGGTGTCACATAGGTGAGAGTTAGTCGTACTAGGAGCTGCCATAGGTATCGCGTAATAGCAATTAGGGGGCGCTTAACGACAAATGTGGTTCCTCATTCCTCTATCCCAAGAAATCAAGGTGTTCACCGGCTTGATAAGAACTGTCCAAGCCTGGACACCTTGTTCGAGAGACCTTATCGATCTGCCAGGCCAGCTAATTAGCGGCCGAGTTCGTTATGTTTACCAATATAACCAAGTCTTCCGTGACGGGTCCCGGCATGCTGAGAGCCTCCTGGCTCGCTCTTATCCTTCCTAGCCACGCCCTCGTGCCCGCCAGCTCGAACATTCCTAAACGATCCCTGAAATAATCGGAGATAACGTCATTCGAGTTAGAGGTCATGGCTTTGAACGTATGGTGAAGACTCACGTGAATGTACAAATGTACATCTGTGTAAAGATGTGTACATAGATTCACATGTATTAATATATCCATATTTTATTTCGTGTGATTATTTCTGCATAACAAAGTACTCGAACATTTAAGTCCACTGATGTGAGGAGTTTACGAAACAAGTACATCTTTTTTACTGTAGCAAGTATTTTCTTGACTATTATAAACTATCACTAAATTTTGTACTTAGAAATGTTGCTACATCGAACCCCGACGTGCAACTGGCGATGCTTTCGGTTTCTACTGCAGCGCTCCTCAGTTTCATTGGACTTAAGATAAACGAAGGACGGTCGCGCCGCCTGGTGTTCTTCAACGTAAACAGAAACAAGCGCAATCGCGCCACTTGACACTCTACGATGTTTTCTTAATAATCTCTGTCACTCAAACAATTGAGCTAATTTTATTTTACTATATGAAATATGGTAACCGTACACATGAAATAAAATACAGGTATGTTAATAAATGTGCATACGTGTACTTTAGGTATATGAGATATGGATTTCTAATTTATATTTTATTTTAGAATCGCTTTGCTTCAAACAAATGAAAGTGGTGATGAGCAAGAAATGGAGGTTATGGTTAGGAACTATCAAAGTGGTCTAAATGAAAGGTATTGTTAAAATAAATAGAAATAAATGTATATGATTATGTGTTTATTTAACTACAAACTTTTTATGCTTAATTATAAAAGTATATATAATTATACATTCAATGCAGCAGAGTCGATACAGTAGGACATTAATTAATCGAACTCACTAGTTTCGGGAAATATATATGATTATATATTTCTGTCATATCACTTATTATTTATATGTACTATATTCAGATACAAGACTAACATGAAGACTATAATGAATTTAAGTATGTATACGCAATTGTGTACTTTGTTCGCTAAAAGCATAAATTTAGGAATAATAATTCAAATTAAACAGGGAAATGTTGTTGAATAAAACTCAGTTTACAGTTTATAAAATGCATTCGAGTATGTTCTAAAAGCATTTACGTATTTAGTAAACCGCAGAGGATCTTAAACAGTCCTTTAGAATTTACGTTGTTTGGAAAATAAACCACGTGTACACACTTAAATCAAATATTTTGCATTAGGTACACAAAATATTTGGCAACACTCATGGTGTTTAACGCAGTATAATGTGTGCCTAAATATAATATACATATACAAATAATAAGTGATAAAGATACAAATATATAATCACATTTTTATCTTAATAGTGATGAACTAGGAATGTTATCACATCTATTTTTGTTTCGCCTCTTTACATTACAATATTTCCAATACAATTACAGTCACGGTAGTGTAAAATCATTCTCCCGAAATAGCGGAATATTGAATCGTTAAACCGAGTTTATAGTCGTGTTGTAATTGTTTTATTTGTCCAAAAGCAACGCTTCCAATGTCTCGATATAATATATCAATTGTGTAGATACTATTAAAAGACTGATATATTCAAATAGTAATTGAACAAAAAATCTATGATTAATATTACACACATTCAGAATTAGAATAATGTTCTACTGTATTTGATAGAAAAGATAGGGAGATAAATATGTTACTCTTTTAACAATCAAAGTGCTTTTTAGCAAAAGTCAATTTACCCATCAATTAACGATTTCCCGTCTGTGGTCTGCACCATTATCCTAGATTTGGAGGGCTCGATCTCCTCCAACCGGATGTTGGTCGCGCCAACCGGGACGTCCACTACTTTCCTCGGTTCTGCCATTGAAAGTTCCCACCACCCGATTATTAGAAGTTTTATACCAGCAGAAGTATCGATTCGAAGGATCGCGAATACGAGATTTATTCGTTGAGAGGATATATCGGTCTGGTTCGAGAGAACGGTCGAGATTCCTCGGGAAATACCTTGGAAAGTTCTCGCACTTTTCACGGATCCAGTGCCTTTATCCTCGTGGAATTTCAACCTCCCTTCCAGACGTTTTATTTATCGCGATTAGAGATTCTTTCGCGTCTTAAAACTTTCCACGACTTTTATATTAAATCAAAACGCCTGACATTTTTTGATGAAGCCATAAAACTATCCTCATACTACGCTTCCTTTCTTTCCGTTAGAGAGTGTGTTTTTACAAATTTTAATTAATTCATTTTGGGACACGATGAATATGTATCACGTGGAAAATTGCCTCGATTAAAAAAGTTATAAAATTCATCTTTTCTAAAGAATTAGTCAAATTTTTAAAGATGTAGATATCAAAGAGCTACGAAAAATTCTAGTATGGTATTTATGTCCATTTCATACTAGAATTACTAATATTACAGGTGTATACCTATGTATATGTAAATACATAGTATGCATGGTAATAATAATTTAGATCATATGCAACGTTATGCGATATGGAAAAATTTAAAAAGGAACTATCATAAATGCACTTTAAATTATAATAAGTACATAGGCATGATATGTTATATATTATGCGTATCTCGACATGACTTGCAAAAAGATTTACTATATACTTATTAATATCGAAAAACAGCTCGTTTTATGAAATGTCCAACTTCCGCAAGAAATACACAGTCAAAAAAGAAAAGAAAAAATGCGTAACAGCTGTATTAACGTAAAAGCTAACCATCTCGGTCGGTAATAAAATGTCGGTATAACTGTAAAGCGAGTCATAAAACCTAAAGCCTGGCTAAATAAAACCGGTGAGGGGATTTCGAAAAGAGAACAAATCATCGGGAGGAATCGGGTAATTACACTCACGGGACGCAGGCCCGATCGTTATCATGGCCTCCTTCAGGCTGCACGAAGTGCCATTACCCCTACAAACGCCACACGCGTCTTCAATAGCGTTCGACTCCATATTCAGATCGCAGGGTATCTCACGACAGACACCTTCGATGCAAATATCTCGTATACCCCTGTAGCAGGTGGTGCCATCGACAACTCTGGGCTGTAACGTCGCCACCACGTCCGTCTCGCTTAGACAGTAAAGGCCACATGGATTCTCCGAAGCTCTCAGATCTGCGGATCGATTCGTATAAAGAACGTGCATGATTGGATACCGCGAAGAATTTGATGTATACATCGATGGATCGATAACTAGTTACCCTCTGGCAGGTTGTAAGCGGTCCATCGGTGAACTTTCCCGTCTTCTGGGAAGACCCAGTTGTTGAACTCGCTGCACTGGACGTCGCGGAATGATGGCGCGCCGATGTCGCACGGCTGCAATCCAGGAAAAGTTTTAATGACGTACGAGGAGAAAAGGTAACCTAATTTGGAATTTGTTAGAGGTATACTGTGATTGAAAATTGGAGATCAATAGAGGTAACTTGTGTTTTGATGTATTACAGATAGATGTCATGACTACCATAATTTGATACGAGACCTAAGTGATCTGCAATAAATGTACGAGATTGCTCTAATCTATATACGCTTTTACTAGATGTGACATGTCATTAACTTGTGTCTAACATTCACAAATAGGAAGATGGGTTTAGAATCTTCTGTGAATGAATGTAAGGCTAGTTTCCACGAGTAGATTGACTTGCAGTTACGAGTATCCCGTGCGAGAATATTCTTCTTTAAATAAGTTGTATGTATGTATGATCATCGTTAAAAGATAAACTCGATCATCGACATAATTTAAGTTTTCAAAGAAATCTCTTCGTGCCATCAGTAGTAAACATTCAACTTGGCGAGTCTTCTTGCATCTTTTACATATGCATATGCTGCCTCGGTTCTTCTCTTATCAGCCTCATCACCCTAAACTAGCTCTCTAGACATTAATTTGCCATGGGATCAGTGCGACGGTAATAGAGATTTATCCTCACTTGCTAGTAACAATTCTCTCAGACTGTACAAATAGAACCCATCTGCAGTGAAAATGTTTGACAGACTTTCTCCTACAAATGGGTAAAATGGTGACTACCTAGATTTCATAACCTCAACAGCTGTGATAAAGATTTCCATCTCTTTTAACAGGTTATTTTAAATCCTTATGAGAGATGTCGATATGTCAAAAGCAAAATTAGATTACCCACAATCCTTAACAGATTCTTCTTGATTTTTTTCTTTAAATTTTGGTCACAGAGATCTATTTGAACACACTTTAGAATTAAAGTGTACACCTGTAAAAGCATGTAAGTTGTGCTCATATACTGAATTCTTCTGTTCAAAATCCTTAAATTTAGAAATCTCCAATTTTGCCAATTCCTGTTCGTCCATCTATCTCTAATTTTACCGATGGTACTAACCTTCGTGGTGCATATTTTATGACGTTTTCTGTCTCCACGACAGTATGCCCCACCGTTGGACGGCGCAGGATTGATACATCGTCTGACTGAGAAAGCCACACCGGAACCGCAGCTACGGGAGCATCGACTCCAAGGTGACCAACTACCCCAACCACCGTCCACGACTCCTGGCCGTTCGCCGACCAACAGGCATTTCATTCCGTAACACCACTGCAAAGTTAATTATCGATCAATCCAACCAACCACTTACCGTCTTCGAATTAATCGCTTCACGCGCCATCTAGCCATCGTTACGCCTCTCTGTTCCCCTTTATCGTTACGTTATGGAGATTTAATGAGGAGAGGGACATTCCTTTTTTGCTATACGGCACGAGCTGAATTTAAATACGTTCGTTGTTCGAAAGAACCACCCTGAGGCAAAAAGTGAATATAATTTTGAATAATTATATTCTTTTACAAGCAGAAAATGAACGGTAGTCCCCGCGTGTGGTCAGAACTCTGTAACACGTAGGAAGATTGCTTTTGAGTATCAAATTTTACGAGAATAAATCCGTGGAAGAAAGGTAGATGAAAGAAAAATTACTGCCGAAATCAGTCGCTGAAATCAAAGGACGACGTTGAAAGTCCGAAACGAATAAGAAGCCATAGACCGGTGATATTTTTTGCGATCGTTCGCCCCTGAGCTGAAACGAAAAAGCAGCGAAGCTCGTTAACTTTCAATTCGCCGAGCAAATTTTTCCTAGCCATCGAAATTAAAACTCAAGAGAAATAAGCTGCGTCCCGACGTTGCCATTTACCGTTTGTCGCTTAATTTCTTCGAATTTTCTCTTATTGAACGTTCAACTAAAGAAAAAAAAGATTATTCAGTAATATTCACCTATTTTTACATTTGCCATCTTGCAGGCTTTGATATATAAATTACCATTGCGAATAAAATGGCGTAAGATTAACGATATCCAAAGAATTGGAAGGTACCTTACTATAGTCACGCTTCGTTTCAGGAATAGCAAACCAGATGTCTCTTCCACGACACCCCAGAAAAAAATGGAATCCAACGTTATCAGATAGGACGATATTTCATTTAAATCGAAAAATCAATTTATCAGAAGTACCGCTGCGGTCGTGTGATCACGCCCTGCTACGTGACAGGGTGAGACGAAAAATATTTCCTGATAATCAATGAACCGAAGGTGTAGGGAGACGTGATAAAACGGTTGCGAACGAAAGCTGGAAAATAATATCCGACCGACTATTCTGTCGCTCGTAAATAATTAAATTCGTTATCCGGCCGCGGTCGGAAGCATCCTGAAAGCACGCTGAAAGCGGGAATAAAAACGTGGCAACGAGTTTGCTCAAGTTGACCCTTTGATCCGATCGTGGCACGTTTTACGATGACGTTATGAGCTTCGCGCGACCAACGAACTTGCTGCCTTTGAGAACACAAAACCGACCGGTTTCAAACAGTGTCACAGGGATTCCTCGCTCTTGTAACACGATCACCGGTAAAAGTCTAACGATCCGTTGTCTGTAAGTTGTTTCCTAACTTCACTCCCCACCACCGTCCACCAACGGACGCAGTCGAACTTTAACGAAGTTGACCGAAAAACAAACGAAGTGTTTAAAATCACAGTATGTAAGCAAAACGATTCACTCGGTTACGAACGACAGAACAAAATCGTGGAATGCAATTTCTATATGTTTTATGTAAAGCAATGTTACAAATTCGATTCGAATTCTCAAAGTTTAATATATATAGCTGCTTTTATACATAACCCGTATCGATTAACGTGTTCATTTTATGATAGTTCTGTTATTTATTTGAGAATTAGTGATGAAATTTTTAAATTAGGTTAGAGCGAGTGTTTGTAACATGTACACGTATATCATCGTGTCCCACTGCAACATTTATCTTCGTCCCGTAACACGATTTTCTCAAGCACTAAGTAAAAAGACGTTACTGTACAAATTGATTTATCTTCCGAGACGAGCAACCTCAATTTTTCCTTCATCTACTACGATTTCAGCGACACCTCGTGTATTACGCTCCAACGACACTGTCTTTGCCAAGCTGGTGGCTGAGATGAGCATTAACGCGTTACGGACCCAAACGCGCTCTCCCTCTGCGCCACGAACTTTCGCAGGACTCTGACATCGTGTATCATCCGAAGTCAAATATAGCGGGAAATTTGCATACTTATTGAATCTAGTCTTTCAGAAGCTTTTGAAGGGTAAAGCGACGGTTATCTTTAAATTCTGCCAACATTATACGTCGACGAAAATAATTAACCTATCGTACATTCCACTCGAACGTTAAATATTATCATAGATATTGGTTATATCTAAATTTGACCAGCTACGGATTAACCTTTTCGGTATTTATCAAAGTGAGATACGCGACACAGTGTTTACGTTTGAAAATTATTTTAATTTTACGTATTAATTTCGCGAAGCATGCCTGAAATCGATATATCGATGCTTCTCGCTCCGCCCATAGATGGCAGGGTAAAAGGGCGCGGAAAAAACGAGTGTGATCGATCACAGCGTGAAGTATGAAGAAAGTTAGCGACACGAAATGTGTAATATTTTTTCTCCGTCAGTTCCTGACTCGTTCCCCAAGACGTACGGCTCATTTTCCATACGTGAGAGCTCTAATTACTTTGATCGATACCAGCTGAATAAGCATAGTATGTGCGATGAAGCACGGCTGGCACGGTTGGTAAAGCGCGCGAGGTAAAAGCTAGGTGAAAAAACAGCTGCTCTCGCATGTGCCCAGCACAATGTCTTAATCGGAGTTGCATTGAAATTCAAACGATCGTGAGAGGGAGGGCGAGAGGGAGGGAGAGAAGGGGGGAGATTTTTATCCGGGACGGTTTTACCGCCGGATCCCACTAGACCAGTTTCTTGCAAAAGTCGTGCCGTAAAACGCCTGCTGACGTATTTATAGAGGATTATCGCATATCTAAACAATACGTATCATTCCAACGCAGAAACGTATAATTCTTTCGCAATCGACCACGCCACGCCGTGCCACGCCGAGTCGCGCAGAGAATAAAAGCTTACATTCGACCCCCCGATGTCTCGGATCGTTAACCCCCTTACATTAGCCGTTACTCAAAAAAGCTTCAAGCAATTCAGATATGTAAATGCGAGCGTTTACTCTGCCCGTAATATAGATCGCTTGATAGAATATGAGTTTGAAGATGACGCGTGATACTTCTTGTGTGTAATTACCCAGTTATTTATAAGTGTATTTATTTTTCTCAGGTTGGACAAATTTCCGGGTCGTATAAAATGTCGGACTTTCGTCAAATTACTTTTGCCCTACATGAGTCACTATTTTTCCGAGCAAGATTAGTAACTAATTTATTTATAGTTTCACGTGGAGTTGAAATAATTTAATAACTGTGGTACTAAGCGTAAATCTAATTTTATATATTAATCAATAAAACAGTTGTTAAACTTTACTCCACAAGAAAATTTGCCAATCTTCCATAAAAGACAAGTAAATGACAAATTCAAATACTCTAGAGATTTTTAAAAAAGAATTTGGCGAAGCGACCTATTTTTACTTTTTTGAGAAAAGTATATACTCTTAAATAGGTGAGAAAAGACAATACCCTTCGTCTATCTCATTATCCTTGTATCTATGATAATGAAATATCCTAGGAACCTAAGTCTTTTCAATAATGAAACACTCGCATGAAAGGGCAAACCATTTTGCTCAATCCGTTGTTCTCATCCTTCCAGCATTTTCATTAACCAAGCAAAATTAACTAACGCTGAGAGAGATCAACGTCAAGGATACTCGCTAATTTGCCTTTGTATATTTCTAGACAATAATTTACCCTGTTCTCTCCACAACGAGTGCCCTCCGCTGGCGGTTTCCTCATGGACACGCAACCCTTTCGTGGAATGGCGCACCTCAGGGCCTCGCAGCTCTGAAAATGAAATGCGATCGTATTAGTGGGGTCGAAGTTTAAGGAAGGGGGTAGTTTCGTGTCGATTGCGATATCGTGGAACGATAGCCCGACTACGAGTGTCGCTTATCTAAACGATGCACGATGGAACGTATTTTGCTAAAAGGATAAGGCAGGCGCGCACACGAGCTTCGCGTAGCGGACGGCAGATGGTGCCTCTTTACGGGCGACCTATATCTATCGCCGTTTATCGCATTCATACCACACTATTCAATGACCAGTGGACGTTTCGAATTGCAAAAGAAATATTACGGACCCTTTCAACGCATCCTATATTACGTTAGACTTGAAATAGAATTTTTTTTATATTATGGTCCGGATTGAAATTGATCAAAGTATTAGTAAAATTTTAAATCGAAGTTCGATGTGAGCTCTGAGTTACTCAAGGTAAATTTTGTTTCTACCAAAACTTTTTGAGAAAAATTTCTTCGAAGCTTAAACAGATTGTTGATCTTTGAAGATTTCCAGACATCCAAGTTTCTAAAATTAAAAATCGCGTTTAAATCACTTTTTCAAATTAAAATGTTTATTTATATTTCTTCGTTAGGACATACCTGATAAAATAAATTGTTTTATCATGATCAAAATCGTGGATTGTTAATGAAATGAAATTTCAGAGAAATGCACGGTCCGATGAGCTCGTTATAAAAGAAAATTTATGATCTCTGAAACAATTGTATCTGAGAAACCTTATTACACACATAACGGTACAAAAGTAATTGCTCCCTGTACTTTATTATGTCTATGGAACATAAAAAGACAAATGGCAAATTGTACGAAATAGATTACACAAAATTCTTCGGTGGACAGGGTCACTTTTGAATTCAACAACGTTAATGCATACTGTGCTCCAATTAAACGTTCTGTCTCAGAAAAATAACCAATTTAATTTCGCCTGAAGAACAGAAATTCAAAATCGATCGATCGTTTCATGCAGCTCCTCGATCGAGAAAACGAATAATGAAAAGAGAACAGGTTAAACGTTCATACGTAATTCAAAAACATCTCAAGAAAGCCCTGTGTTTCTTTTTCTCCACACGAGTGTACGCAAACAAGACTGACACTTCACATATGTTTTATTCCTAGACCCACCAACCCGTAATACATAGCCAAGTATGTTGTACATACATTCAGAGTGTCCTCTT